CAACCCACTTGGCCAACCCACTTGGCCTCACAGGCCTTGCAACAGGGAGGCCAGGGAAGAGGTCCCAACCATAAGGTGGCAGCTTTGCCTTTTTCAAACATAAGGTTCCTGTCATGGAGGCGGGTATCCTGCACAGCCAACGTGTCAGCCTTCCATTCATGTGGCGTTGGCTGGATCAGCCTTCCATTCATGTGGCGTTGGCTGGATGGGGACCGAGCCAACGCTGGCTCGAAATCCAACATATGGGCAAAAAGGCATAATGACTCTCATGAGAAAGGAGAATGCCAGCTGCGAACCTTGCACTGTGGGTGTGGGGAAAGCTCAAGAAAAGACAGCTCCCTGGTTTGCACGCAACACGCGGCACTGCACCAGCAGTGGTGAACAGGCATAGGGCAACTGTCCCTGAATCGTTGGTGATACCCAGGCGCACGGAAAACACGGCACCCCAAACAAGGTGACAGCACTTCACGCACGTCATAAAAAAATACACGGGCCCAAGCCAAAAGGTTTGAGTACCCGAGGCGCACAGCGCGCCCAGTCAGGGCGCGCCATTGCTTGTCAACAACTGCGTAGGAGTCGTTGCAGGGAGATGCATTTTTCTGGAACACATTGGCGCAAGACACATTGGCGCAAGGCAGGTTGCTGAAGGCAAAGAAAAGCCCAACTCTGGCTACATTGCTGGTCTGCTCGAAAGGATGCGGGACAGGGACTTCTGCGCAAGTAATGCTGCAAGATAGCGGGTACTCAGGCTCGGTCATGGAGGCAAAACTGACCGAGCCCAAGCAAGTCAAGGAAAAGGAGCTACGCGCAAGAGGAAGACTGCCGCAGAAATGACGTTGTGAACGCTCAAGCGCACGGCGCCCGACTTGGAGCAACTCAGTCCTGTTAATACCTCTGAGGTTCCCCACGTGTGCGCACTCTGACCATAGACAGGCGTAGTCATGCGCACCGCCACACCAGACACAAAGAAACGGACCTGTCTGAAAAATTCATTTGTTCCCAAGCGTTGCTATGCTGCACGAAAGGATGTGCGAGTGACCACAGCTTTTGGGGGTGCTCATGCAGACATGGCTGTATGGAAGGAGTGAGCCCACACACTCTCAGACAAACGCCGTGCCAAAAGAAATTCAGGAGAATGGCATCGCAACAAGCTCTGCGCAGGGGAAGGACCGCTGAACACTAACAATAATCTTACCACCATCATTGTGGTGCAAGGATCCAATTGATCCAATGGAGGCACAGGTGGTGTTTGTGCGCAAACATAGCGGCGAGATGCTCCACCAACACACAGTGCCAGCGAGGCAACCCAAAACCGCCGCAGGGGTTAGTCCTGCCGAGGATGCTTCGGGGGAGGGGCCTCCAGTGCCGGATCTTTCACGGGGGGCAAGTGCGGACAACGCCTGAAGTTTCATCAAACCTCCCGCCGACTCAATCGGCAAGTCTGTCATGCTTGGTCTCAAGGCTGTGAAATTTCCCTTTGAGCAACTCAACCCTCTGAGAAAGCTCCTGATTTGGAAAAGGGACTGCATGCGCGATCTCGACGATCGGCTGACTCTTTGCCTTGGGCTGGCTGTTGGACCACCAGAAGCAATATGGAATTACTTGACAGATGGCAGGGTGTCAAACCCCAATTGCCAAGTGAACACTCCGCCGCGACGAAAAGACCCGATCGGGAGTGGGGTGCGCTTGGTGGCCAGAGATTTGCGCTAACAATGGCCTGCGGCTCAATTGCCCATGGAAATCCCTGAGCGAGAGAATGCGCACGCGGAATGATATGCATATTCTCAGGCACGAACCTGCTGTCGTTCTGCATCCGCTTCCTTCGGGCATCAGCGATGGTGCCGTTCGTGGATCGAATGGCAACACCCCGACGGGTAACTTGCAACCCAGCAAATCCTTTGAGGGTAAGGCCAAGTTCACGAGCGACCAGCTGGGCACATCGCAAGGACGAGTGCAGTCAATGAAAAAAGCAGCGCGGATGGTTGTACCAGGGGTCACCTTGACGGCTAGCTCTTTGCCATTGGTGCTGACAATGGTGACATTCACAGTGGCTGGAGGCTGAGTTCCGGCAACTGGCTTGCAAGGCAGAGCGGGAGAGACACTTGGAACAGCGCCTACCTGCAGCAGGCGGGGAAAACACTCTGCGCATGGTAGTGAAAGGAGGCACTTGGATATGCTGGCATCCAAGGTGAAAGACAGGCTGACGCATTCATTGATTGCGCTAGGAATCAACCAAGTGCAAACATCACTGCCCAGAACGACTGCAAGGTTACCTGAGCACACCCTAGCATCAACTATCCGACCAAGAGCATAAGCGACGTCGCTCTCATTCCTGAGGTCAAGAAAGCTAAGGCGGACAAAATTGCTACTGCTGTGACAGGTGCTGATGCAGTTGTCGGCATGCGCACACATAAGCTTGCTGGATCCTTGCTCGCTACGGCGAGCACATGCATTGCTAGCGTCAATGATGAACGCAGCCTTGCCACCGCGAAAATCGTCACCGCTACAGCGAAACAAAAGCTCCGACAGGATGCAGGGGCACCTAAAGGGGGCTTCAAGGCAGTAAGGCGCTCCGAGATCCACAAGCATTGCCGTAAAGCATGGGCTTTTCGGCTCGCAAGGCAGTTGAATGGCGACACTGATGCGAGCATAATTGGGCTTCACACCGGTGGTGCCTCATGCTGAAAGGCAAGCATAAGTTCCTGCACCTCATTCAAGAACCAACAAATGACCATGACACCACAAAGGATCCTAAAAGCAAATCAAGAGGGGGTGGCGAGGGGGTCGCCACTTTTTAGACGCACGACCTCAAGACCCGGGGCCCACAACTCCCTAAAGCAAATGACGGTTCGAGCCAGATGCTTACACAAAGAGGGTTGCTCACAAGGCGATAGCAGTGGGTCAAAAATAGGTGCCCAAAATGGAACCCTGGTAAATGGAAACATGGACCAACACCAGCATTCCCCTAATTGTTTGGTTTCGACCAATAGCCTGATCCTCTTGAATGTGTCGGTTTTGGGTTCCTCTTTAGTGTCCAATGTTTTGGGGGGTTGCCGAAGTTCCAAACAACTACAGCCTCAGCCTTTCTCTTGAAAAGGGTGGTTCACCTAACCAAGCCCGTCCCAGCTCAAAGGGTACAGGCCTTGGATCAAACAATCACACTCAAGACAACTTCTTGCGAACGAGAACGGGCAACCAGTCACACAAGCGGGCTCCTCACAAGCGGCCCCGATCCTGTTGAATGTGCTGGTTTCGGGTCCTCTTCAAGATCTGCTTGCCGGTTCAAAATTCGGGCCAAAACTGGCTCTTCCCAGCTAAATTTGAGAACTGGCAATGCGAAAGTAAGTACTGGGCAATCTGAGAGTTACTAAATTTAAGCTTGATATATTGCCAATATATGTATTAGCAAGTCCAAGTCCTTCCCACACCTCCTGGATTTTCACAAAAGAGGGTCTCGCTGGCTGGTTTCGCTGTTCAAGGAGGGGGGAAACATAAAAAGGGTCCAACATGCCCCCCTTTGTTTTGTGGTTTTAAGGGGGAGCCAAAAAGGAAAGCCGTCATAGAGGGGTGGTTCTTAGGAAAGACACACACACACAGATTTGTGAGGACTGAGCTCTGTGCCGCAGCCACGAATCATCTCAGTTCCCGGCAGAGAATCTTCAGCCAGTTGTGGTTTCTCCGAGATGTGACATATTTTTTGCGCACAGAGAGCTGCTCTTTAGGAATGGAGCTGCGTGAATGGACCCTGAAAATTTGTCCCACTTGCAAACCCCCCCATACTCCTTAGGCAGGATGGGTAGAGCTGGGATTCCCGTTGTTTTTGTTGTTCCTTTCTTTGGGTTTGTGGCTTAGCGCGTTGCAATCCACGTGGACTCCTCACCTGTCTGGCTCCCTTCTCGCGACAGCCGGAGGCAGGATGCGCAGAAGATGAAGTGAGGCGGTACTATTGGGGGAGTCTTTTTTCGTTTGTGCCCCTTTTGGGGTTGCCTTTTTTACCCGGGCAAAAGGACGATTTCGAGGGGTCCCCGAAAAAACGAGTCACCCATTTGTTTGGGGTCTTTGCGGGGAAAACTGTTGCAGTACGAGCAGCATGTTATTTTTAATTTGTATTGGTAGATGGTATAGAACTCTAGCATACTCCAACATATGCATTTGACCGATGTGCCCAAAACGATGTGCACCCTTCTGTGGGGAACACACATACAGACTTTGCGTCTCGTTTCTGCTGGTTCCGTGAGCTTTTTGAGGTGTCGCTGAGCCAGCCAGTCGGAAAATCCGCAGGCCGTCGGTGCCGTTGACTTTGAAGTGCCGGATGAGGAGTTTTGCCAGGACGGATTGCGCGCATCCATGACTAGCGTCATATGACTCGTATTCATACTTAGTGATTTTGTAGTAGCATATTGTGTATCTGTTTTATCAAGCATGATTATACATTGTATGGTACTATCTTGACTTTGATCAATCGAATACTTTTGATATGCTTCATTTGTTTTGTTTGCCCATGCATATTGTCTAGATCAGTTGTATTACACATTGTATTATACCTACTATATACATTTTGCTCATACAATATTGCGAGTATTACACACATACTTTGTACACTCAGCATTATTCAGACAAAACAACTGGTGAGTAGGAATTGTATTGCCAATGCTCCTATTGTTTCGTATCATGTTCTTGTGGGGGTATCGTATGATGAGTTCCAACCTGCGCTTGTCATAAACTATTGGTATGATTAGTATGATGTCTGTTAGTATTGGTAATATGATGTTATACCATGCTCCAACATATTTCGAGCATGCAGACGATCGTGCCCACTTATTATAAATTGTTTTTTCCGAGAACAAGATACAGCAGACGTTGCGTGCCGTTTCTACAAGTCCGGTTCCTTGCCTTCCGTGGCTGCAAGAGAGGCACTTTCGCCTCAAGTCGCTCGCTTCCTCAGCCATCCGGCATGAAGAGTCCATGGCTTCGCGTGATAAGTCTCAGGCTGCTTCGGCATGTCAGCGTTGATGCCTTTTGGTTTTTGGGAGTTTCTCAAAAATCGGATTGTTGGTCTACAACGGTTGGAATTGTTTTGGTTTTCCCTCAATCAATCCACCCAATCAAGGCACTTCCACACTTTTGAGATCCGTGTTAGTCCTTTTTGAAAACCCAAGTGGCACCGTACCAATTTTTCCTCCTAGGTTTATTGGGGGCTATGCCCTGTCCAGCCTGTTCGACCTGGCCAGCCATACAGACAGGACCTTGCAGCCTTATGTTGTGAAGTTCCATGAACAGACATGAACCTTCGCCAATTGCTTTAAAACAAGCAAAATGTTTGCTTCTCAAGCTCAAGTCTTCCACTTGGTCCGTTGATGAAAACAAACGTCCACAAGGGAGCCGAGAGAGGCATTCATACACAAACATATCCTTCGGGAAACAGGATCTACGACGTCGCTGCCGACTTCATCACAAATAAGTCCCTCACCGCCAGCTGGGACACCAGCGTGATCCTTTGGGACCTCAACGCAGGAACGGAGGTGGGCCCCTTGACTTGCTCCGGCGGCGGATATGGCGGATGCGGACACACAGTGTCTGTCTGGAGGGTGGTTGCCGACTTCACCGCCGAATTGGCCCTCTCCGGCGATTCTGGTGGCACCCTCATCCTGTGGAACCTCGCCACAGGGCAGGAAGTCCGCGCGATCACAGGGGGTCCCTCCAGCATAATTACAGACATGTCTGCCGACTTTGGTCTGCTGAAGGCCTTCGTCGCTACCTCAGATGGCTCGATGGTTGTGTGGGACCTCTCCGCAGGAACGCAAGTCCACGCCATGAGCGCGAACTACAACCCGAACCAAGTCCAGGTGGACTGGGATCTCCTTCAGGCCATCTCATGCGACAACAGCGGCAACCTCGTCTTGTGGGACCTGGATTTGGGACAGGAGGTACGTCAGATTAAACCCAATGTTGGCAAGCTCGTCACTTGCCAAGCAGATTTCCCTTCGATGCAGGCGGTCACTGCTGGCGACGACTCGGAGCTCTACCTCGTGGACCTCTCCGGGTCCGTTGTCCGAACCATGACCGGGCACACCAATGGCATCCGCACAGTGGTGGCAGACTTCACGGCCATGATGGCCTTGACGGGCAGCATCGACTCCACGGTCATCTTGTGGGACCTCAGCACAGGCAGCGCAGTCCACACGCTGACTTCGCATCTTAGCACCGTCCAAGCAATTGCTGCGGACTTCTCCTGCATGCGAGCTTTGTCCACGGGCAACGATGGCAAGCTTGTAGCTTGGGACTTGGACACGGGTCTGCAAATAGCCGAGGACGGGAGCCACACAGACAGGGTCACCAGTTTGGTAGCTGACTTCTCCCTCGGGAAGGCCTTGACAGGGTCGCGCGACACGGTCGCCAAGTACTGGGACCTGGGGGAGGCTATGACGTGTACAACGACGTCTACAACGTCTGCAACGGCTACAACGACGTCTAAGTCAGCTACAACAACGATGACGATTTCCTCTACGTCTGCAACGACGTCTAGAACGGCTACAACGACAATTACAACGGCTACAACGACGTCCAAGACGGCTACAACAGCTACAACGACTTCCTCTACGTCTGCATCGACGTCTACAACGGCTACAACGACGTCCAAGACAGCTACAACAACGATAACGACTACCTTTACAACAGCGACGTCTACAGCAACGCAGACATCACGGACATCAACGACTTCTTCGTCATCAACATCAACAACAGCGTCATTAACGACGTCAACGGCCACGACTACATCAAAATCATC